TCTATGTACTTCAGTTTAATAAGCTTGGACAAATACCTGACAGCTGAAGCATTGTGAGACCTGTATGCACGTTCCTTTTGTCTATACATGAAAAACAAAACATTAGAAGTGATAGGTGTGCCACTTATGGCCAACCAATGATCGCATCCTTCAATTGACAGTCACGTGACCTGTTGCAGGATTCCACACAGTGCTTTTCACCGCTTATTCCTCACCATACCCCCACCCTGACACTGGCTATTGTGTCGCTTCATTAAGCGAAAATGGTTGTTTATAAGCACCAATCCGGTGGTGACCTAAACGTTTTGTGCCCCTCGAGGAGTGGGGAATAATTTTCAAACTCATTCCATTACACATTTAAGATAATGTTTAAATGCCATTTTTAAGATTGGCACTCAATGGGACCGTGGTGTTTGCGTCTACTCAAACTACTGAGATGTGAATGCTGTTGAGAAATTAATTTCCGTGAACTGAGGTACGGTCAGAGTGAGAAAAGGTTTGGAGTGATTAAAAATATTTGACCCGATCGATTTGATCTCAAAGTCCTCCATATGTGGACTGGATCTGAAAGAGCTGGCCAAGCAAATTTACCGGGTTTTAAAATGAGGTTACTGTGACAAAAATACATTTCTTGGGTAAAAGTAGATGAATGAAAAGGCCAAAGACTATCGGATACGCATGCCTGACGAGTGGCAAGAACCGCAAAACCGGTCGTTTGTTTCCGGGGAAATTCAGTCTAATCACTCATATACTACTTACTGTAAAATATAATATAGATGTGTGTATATGTACACAGGGAGTTTTAATTTTTAAGCGCCATGATGTAAATTGCCAGCGGAATCCGGATCGTATAGATAAGGTCAGAGATCCTGCATGGTTAATACTAATAATTGAACCAATTACAAATGAGAACGGTTTCGGTTTCAGTTTCAGATTGTACAAATCTTTACCATGCACTATCGTGTGCCGGTTTCGGTTGCTGTCTCAGCACTACCGTTTGAATGAACTTTAGGAGAAAGGCAGGAAAGGTTGAAAGTGAAGTCTAATAGAAAATGGAGAATTTCAGTGGACTCAAAGAAATTGAGAAGATGCCCGAACGCCACTGTTTACGATACTCAGCCATATCACTCATTGTTTCTAACCGTCGTTTACAATCATCTCGAGGTCCCCAGTCAGGAAGTCTAACGCAATCTGTGTGGCCCAGTCTCCTGGTTAGGGGTTTCATACTCTCGTGCCAGGTTTTAGATTGACCACCCTTGACTTTTCCCATCCACTACCTGCCTCGGCGAACATCGCTCGCCGTGGTAGCCTACTTGGTATAATGCGTAACACATTCCCCGAACAATGTTATCTATGGAGGTAGACCATTGACTCCACTGGACGACCGCGACTACCTAAAACTCTATGCCTAACCTCAGCATTGCTCGTCCGGCTGCCCCACCAGATTCGTGCAATGCTGCGAAGACAGCGATGTTCAAACACCGACAGACTACCTTTATCCTGTTTTCTTAATGGTCAATTTTCTGCGCCATACAGCAGAGCTGGCCGAACCGCCGCGACATACACTCGACCCTTCACAGACAATCGGATGTCATGACGATTCCCCAGATGTCTTAAGTTGGCAAAGGTCAACATAGCCTTCTGTATGCGAGCTGACACTTCATTCATTATGCGCTAAATGCTGCAAAGAATAAGCCACAAAAACTATTGTTGCGATTTCAGTCAATTTAATACCTCTCCGACTCGGTACTTTGGGGGTATGCAACGAATTTCTTTGTATATATGAGACTTGGATTCAAAGGCTTGCTAGAGGTAACCAGATGAGGAGGCCAATTTTCCTTTTTAGCATGACTGCGCGTTGGACGAATCTCTTCCCCTAATGGAATAGAGCAAAACGAGACCAGTATCGAATTCGCTTCCTAAACTCTAAAGCCTGCAAGCTTCGTACAGGTTTGAACGACTGAACAGTATGTCCAAACTTTTCCGAACATGGTAGATCGTATTCCTCTGTGAAACCGAAATTCACATTAGGATGTGAAATTCATCCAGACTAGGATGAACCAGATATCTAGTGATTGAGAGAATTTCCATACATTGTGGACTGGCGTTACACAAAAGGGTCGTTAAACCTTTTCGAGTTAGTTCATTCGAAAAAGAGAACATTCATCGTGCAACTTCGTTCCTAACACTTTTTACACACCTGCACCTCCGATCGAAAAAGTGGAAATCCATCGGAACGGAACACGTAAAAATCGATCAGATCGATCAGAAGTTTCCTCATAATCCCTAAAATAGAGAGGGAGGGAATCAAACGACCTGATTCTCCTAAAAGATCCACATTTCCTTTCTTGATCTGGTCTCAGGCATATCTGTTGACCTTGTTCTACGTGCAACAACAAGCCAGATGTCACTTTGCGTGTCATTCGTTTTCGGTTTGGAATAGATACTGAAGTGCTGGGACCTATTTATAAGGCTACCGAGATATCCGTGGTTTGAATCACGAAGACATTGAACGAAACAGGGTCTATGAGTAAAACAAAAACAAATGAATCAGGACGCGGCACTCGAAACTCAGATAATAGGGTTCGAAGTACGCCTGTGACAGCGGTTAAACCACTAAGCCACCAACACCCACTGAATAAATGTTCCCACCTCGAGTGATATTTGAAAGGATGAGAATGTGGATATCGAACAGATGAAGGACCCCGGAGGAAAGATTGTATCGGTATTGCAACGTGTCGAAAACAATTTAGGTTGATAGGATACTTAAGATGATTCCAATAGACGAAATTAAAAATACATTGGATTTAACCAAAGATATCCATGGGCATTAGCTCACTTTTCACTAGTGTTCCTATCGCAGAGAACATTGAATATTTATGTTACTCAATCCAGAAGAATAAAATTGAAGTTGCAACACCCCTGGAAGACCGTAAACTGTACACCTGCACACGGAACGTTCTGTTTAACCTCAGTGATGAAAGCTATTTTCAAAAGGATGGAGTACCTATAGGATCCCTGCGAGGCCAGATGTTTCATGTTCAAGCTACAGAATATTGTTTTGTGGTCCACAATTAAGCAATGCAAACTGGATAGACCATTTGTCATCAACAGCGACTTCAAGGTGTCCTGTCCAATTCGATTAGAACATTTGACTCCGTTCATCCAACCTCAAATTCACTTCGGAAGAAGAGGGATTGGCCTTCTGGACATCTGGTCAAAGCGTCGCACACAGCTGATTCTATTCAGAGATCGATCTAAAGAAAACTGATTTGGTGCGACCAGTACTCCTCCAATTTACGAGTTTTAAATCAATCAAACGAAAAACAAATCTGAGTCTATGTTTGACAAATAAAGCAGTGAAAAAGTGAACTGATGACTGATACTATCAACTCGGGACAATCTCTCTTCCTACAAAACAGTTAACCAACACATTTTGGGGATAGTATTTTACGAAACCATCATTCACAAGGGACATTTTTAAATATAGAAAATTGTTCACTGTAGATCTCTGTCTCCCATTTAGAGGGGACACAAACGGGGGGCTGGAAACTAAGAATCGCAGTGAGAACCCATTTCATGCCGCAAATTTGCGTACTCACGTATTCACGTTCAGACCGATCCTGTATCTGCAACTCAAAGACAAAGTTCCCACTTCAGCAGTCTCCTTCTGTGTGTAACTGTACACGTGTTCCGGGGGAGGAACGTACATCGGACGAACAAGTACCGCCCAACCTATCCTCCGGCCTGGCCGAATATCAGTGGGAATAGGACCATTGCAAGTGCAATCGTTTCACGCCCTGTGGAATCTGATCACACAATGAGTTTGAATGATCTGCTTCGTCCTCTCTAATGTGTTCGGGGTTGCCGATCCAAGCCGATTAAAAATCGCATCTTAGCCACTGCCGGGGCTACATACATACCCGCTAGTCTACTGCAGCCAAAAACAGCTTGTGAAATTACCCAACTCCTTGTGGCCTTCCGCCTCATTCCGCTCCAAATCACACGAGTAACACAAACTAAACATTAATAAACAAAATGTGGGAGTAAGATCAGTCACAACCGGTTCGTGGAACTGAAACAGAAAACGAAACATATCCTCATTCGACAATTCATTCGTTGTATTAACCTTTTTGTACACAAACTGGAGCTATATCGAAATTGTGTTATGTATTAGCCAGTTGATGAGTCACCGAAAACAAGCTTGTTCGCCAGGCTTCCTTTGAATGAGCAATCACAGGTGCTGTGGCGGCGGTGGCTGCTACTACTGCTGCTGCTGCTGGAACGTAAACCAGCATTTATCTTCCCGGAGGACAATGCCCCACCACGCCTACATATCTCAATACGTTCAGTAATACCAAATGTACCAGTACGCTAGCTGCATACTGCAGTTGGATGGATCGCTAGACTGAAGTATCACTGAACACTGCTGGGTTCATCTGAAACAAACACCCATCATTTAAGCCCTTAGGACCGCGAAACCGGACTNCCGGACTAAACTGAGTCGAGTGGTCGCAAGCCGTTTGGAATAAATTTAAGCTCCAATGACATATCAATTCGTGCAGACTGAATGCTCCCCCCTCCAAAGTGGGAGCTGTTTTTGTTAGTTAATGGCAATGATTCTTCTCGACAGATCCTTTGCACACTCTCTTCACTACATGTCAGAGGGGTGTCTGGATGGATTTCGATGGGCTGTATCAATTGTTAGCACGGTTGTGGGTGTGATGTGATAGAATTGTTCATGATCTCTCCCAAAGGGGTTAGGGTTACTATATTGCGATCGTCTTTGTCTGGGATGATGAAAAACAGTCTAATCAGTTCACCTGTAAATGTTTTGATCACTGTGCGCTCCACAATTAGTTCTGTTCTTAGATGGTTCTTGGCTAGGCATGAACAAATGGATTTCAGTTTGTTTATCTCTAAGCGACTACCGAAGTACTGAAATAAATGGGGTGTTCATATGACTGGCAAAGTGTTGAAGACAATCGGACCAATCAGAATCAAATTGGGTAACCTACCCGCTTTAGTTGGTCAACATCGTCGGCCACCAAACTGAGTGCGTTGGACACGAGTTGCCGAGCCTCGATTGACAGGCCATTCATAGGTGCTTCTTTCATGTTGATCTGTCCTTTGTTCTTTTTTGAATTTCTCCTGCACGCTTTCAGATAGGCCCGAATTCGATTCCGATGTCGCTTCATTTCCATCCGTGGCCATGCTTTGGCGCAGATAGATTCAAGCGCAGTGATTGCGTGTCTGGGTTGTTCGCAGAAGGTGATTGTTCGATCCAACGTGTCGTCAACAATGCGACGAACAAAATTCTGCAAAATGATAAAGTTGAAATTTAACTGTTTGGTCATGCGATTTTTCGGTTTCAGCGAAAGTTCTGTAGTAAAATATGATTCATGTACTCACGTTGTAGGCGGCTGTAGTCAACTCGGATCCGGCAGTGGCCGGTTTCTCACATTCGTCTTCCGGGCCACTAATACTTCCTCCCAGATCACGCAAAATTTCATTTCCACACACACGTAAGTTGTTCAGAAGGGAAGAGTAACTGTTGCGGTCTTGGAAATCTTTGACGGAACCGGGCGCGGTGTTCGGCCCGGTGGTCGTGTTACGATGATATCGTGGACTGGAGTCCATGGAATAGTCCGCATCGTTCTCGTCACTGCCCGAGGCTGGACGTTCCCCGACCACGTCTGAGGCGGAAGAAACGGACGAAGAGGAGGGATTATCCTGCGACGTGCCATCCAAACTTCTCCGGCGTCCTGGGTCGCATGAATGTCTACCGGTTCCGTTGACCTGTGAATACGAGCAGATTCGAGCATCAGTATGCGGTCACAAAATTGATGGAAAAATTCCCGGTTCGTTCCTGTTCAATACCGTCGAGGAAATTGGCGCAACCTTTGCCCGGAATGAATGCGAATAAAGAACACAGTAGCACAGTGGTGCACAATTCATTTCCGGAATAATTTTGCTGTATCTCTTCAGTGATAGACAGCCCCATCCCCAAGGAAACTTTTATTACGTTGTGTACGTGGATAATTCTACATGAAAATTTTTCCCGTGAAAGATGTAATATGAAAATCTAAAATTTGCATGTGTTAATGTTACATCTAATTAAGGGCGAAGTTACCACTGAAGTACTCATAAGACGACTAAATGGAGCGGTAAAAGCCACATTGAACGCCGAGCACCTACGCTGCTCTTTCAAAAGTTCGCCATTGATAACCATACGGAATAAAGATAAACTACCGATGTTGAGCGCTTCAAGGATTGTTTACTCCTTCAGATGCGTTTGTGATCCACTCTACGTCGGTCGTAAGCAGTTATCAATTCGCATGAAAGAGCACCATCGGCGCTGGCTGGGT